GGAAGAAGGAAGGGCAAAGATGGAGGGGAAACAGAATCTCACACAGATCATATATAGCTGAAGATGACCTTCAATTTCTGATCATCCTACCTCTGCCTCCTGGGGGCTGGAGTGACAAGCATGTGTCATCAGGCCTATTGCTGGAAAAGCATTTTTTAAAAATAAATACTGTAGGGGGGCTGGAGAGATGGCTTAGCAGTTAAGATCCTCTTGCAGAGGATCTCAGTTCAGTTCCCAGCACCCATGTCAGACAGTTCACAGCTGCCTGTAACTCCAGCTTTACAGGATCTGACTTCTCTTGCTTCCTGGGACACTTCTACTCACATATGTGCACACGTGAGTGTGAGCACACACACACATATAAACACAGCTGGGAGCCATCGTCTTCAACTGTAGCCACTGGTGGCTCCAGAGCATAGTTCTAATCCCATGACCATCCTGAGGGACACAAAGAAAACAAAAAGACATCAATGTGGGGAAGATCTCATAGGGAAGAGAGAGCAGACAGGAGATCAAGAAAGGTAGGAAGCATCATCTCTGAAGTGTCCAAACCCAGCTCTCCAGGGAGCTGCAAAGCAAGGATTCTTGTGCTATTTTGTGACAGAAAGAGAAAATGGAGTCAGGATGTACCAACATACCAACTCATATGTGCCAGGATGTACCCCATGCCGAGGGTGAACTTGTGCATGTACCCCATGCTCGGGATGCACCTGTGCACATACCCCACGCTCACACATGTCAGAACGTACCCCCCACTCACATGTATCAGGACGTACTCCACACTCGGGATGCAGTTGTGCGCTTTAAGAACTGTAGCACTGTTGTCAGGTGTCTGAACAGCTGAGCTGCAGAAAAGGGATACATTGTATACTTGAAAGACTGAAGCGGAGAAAAGCCACTGAAGGGAGCTTAAGGAATGGTGCCTATGTCGGGGGAGGGGAGGGGAGGGAAGGATCCATGAAGCACAAACAAGCCTCCACAGTCTTATTTACTTTTCCCTTAACCCAGCTCACAGACAGACCTCTGTAACTGCTCATTATCACCAAATGTCCTTTCAAGTGTCAAATTGCTAAAGAAAAATCTAATTTGGCTCTCCAGATGACGTGTAAGACTTATTGATTCATTCTGATTGGCCTAAGGTGGGTACATAAGCCCGAGTAGATGCTTCTTGCCTTCTTCTCACTCACAAAGAACACACACACACACACACACACCTGTACACACACATTATCCAGGAGTGTCCAGTCCTTTAACATTGTCATCTACCAAGTTCACACGTTTAGGACGCGCAAGGGAGACAGAAGAAACTTGAGGGAACGTCCTAATTGTGCGTGCACATGTGTGCAGCTGAAGCTGTACATGTGAAGACTAGAGTATGACCTCAGCCTCTTCCTCTATCACTCCTACTGCTATTGCCTTCAGACAGAGTTTCTTAACTGAACCCAAGTCTCATCCAGCCTGCTAGGCTGGCTGGCCAGAACATTCTCCACCTTGCAGGACTGAGCTTGCAAGAACACACAGTCATGCCTAGCTTTTCACCCGGGTGCTGTGGATTCACACTCAGGAACCTAGGCTTTCAGAGCAAGCATTCTTACCACTGAGCCATCTCCCCACCCCTGTCATCATATCTTAGGTTTTTGTGTTGGCTTGCATCCCTGCATCCCTACGTCCCTGTATCCCTGCATCCCTATATCTCTATATCCCAACATCCCTGAATCCCTGGATCCTTACATCCCTGCATCCCTGTATGTCTGCAACCCTGCATCCCTGCATCTCTGTATTCTTGCATCCCTCCATCTCTGCATCCCTGCAACCATGCATCCCTGCAACCCTGCATCCCTGTACTTGCAGGTGGCCTTGGCCTCACATAGCCTGTTGTTCTGTGTTGGACATGCCTATTGGGAACATTGTTTGTTAAGATTTGTGTAAAAGCTACTGGGCTGTAGTGTTATGTTCAACTTCCTGATCATACTGAATCCAGCTTCTAACAGACTCTCAAATCACAGAGACTGAACTTGAAACAGATGTGCAAACTCTGGGACATACTACTCACTAAAGAGGTTCAACAGCTACCCAGCCAATGGCCATCAATTTCTAGTTCATCTATCTATCTATCTATCTATCTATCTATCTATCTATCATCTATCTATCTATCTATCTATCTATCTATCTATCATCTGTCTGTCTATAGTATGTGCATAAGTTTCTCTCTCTCTCTCTCTCTCTGTGTGTGTGTGTGTGTCTGTGTGTGTATGTGTGTGTGTGTGTGTGCACGTGCATGCATGCTACCACATGTGTGGGGTCAAAGGCCAACTTCCAGGAGTCAATGTTCTCTTTCCACCAGGTAGGAACTGATGAACAAACTTAAATCATCAGTCTTAGCAGCAAGCATCATTATGCACTGAGTCATCTCATCAGCTCACGGTCCTTGATTTCCCAAGGTACAGAAATGGGTTGAGAAAAATAGCTGCTTCGAATGTAAACACCAGGACTCCATGGGGGACTGTCTTCTGCACAGAGTGAAACAGATTCGCATCCTTATGTTCCCTAATTATGGCAGGGGAGATGGCTCAGCTGATAAAGACTTCTCATGCAAACATGATGATCTGTGTTCAGATCCCCAGCACCCACATGAAAAGCCAGATACAGTACAAAGCACTTGTAATTCCAGTGCTGAAGAGGTGGGAACAGAGGATTCCTGATGACCACTAGCCTGACTTTACTAATCAGTAAACCATGGCTGACGATAAAAGACTGTCTCACAAAACAAGGTTGATTGCTTCAGAAGAACACCACCCAGGGGATGTGTTCTGGCACACTCACAAGTTCACACTCACAAACATGGGAACACAAGTACAAAGACAGACAGACAGACAGACAGACAGACAGACACACACATACACAAGATATTTTCAATAAAGATAAGGTGATTGGAAAATAGAAGTGTATAAACAGAAGCTACTAAGTGGGTACTGACTTCAACTACCACCAGTTTATCAACCTGCATATGGACCAGGCACATCAACTTCTGATCTAGTCAGCCCTTCCTTAACAGAGTGCTAAGGAAATACTGAGCTAAGCTCCATGGTTAAACCACTTCCTCCCAAGGCAAAAAGACAGACAAAAAAGCCTCCATGGGATCCTAATCTGTGATCCCCCATGCTTTGCTGCCACGTTTTAGAGAGGCCTGGCCTGGCATCTGTCCTGGATCTTGGATACCTGGTATAGTAATACTCCTTGGGAGTGAGCCTGAGCATATTTTGTCTTGGTTTGGGGAACTATCTCTACCATCATAAGCATCAGAACAGGGGCCATTGGTTGTTGTAGCGATCTGGCTCTGAGCACAAATTCAGTGGCTGACACGCAATGAGTGCTCAATACACACGGGCGGTGAAGTAGGTACCCTGGAATACTTGGTTACTGACATTCATCAAGGCTAGCCAGTTTGCCTCCAATACCCCCCAGTCTCTGCTTCTGGAGTCCTGGGATTATAGGTTATATTCCTTGCATATGGAATTTGCAAGGGTGTGAAGGATCCTCTCTCTTCACGGCAAGCTCTTTACCAACTGAGCCATTTCCCAGCTTCGAGTGTATTTTCTGACGTAGTAAAAAGTTCACCCCGTTGTTTAATTTGTAAAAAGCATGGGTTGATGACTGCATGGAAGGGTTTATTATTTATAAATGTCTTAGTCAGGGTTTTACTGCTGTGAACAGACACCATGACGAAGGCAACTCTCGTAAGGAAAACATTTCATTGGGGCTGGCTTACAGTTCGAGGTTCCGTCCATTATCGTCAAGGCAGTAACATGGCAGCATCCAGGCAGGCATGGTGCAGGAGGAGCTGAGAGTTCTACATCTTCATCTAGAGGCTGCTAGGAGAATACTGGCTTCCAGGCAGCTAGGATGAGGGTCTTAAAGCCCATGCCTACAGTGACACACCTACTCCAACAAGGCCATCCCTCCAAATAGTGTCACTCCCTGGGCTGAGCATATTCAAAGCATGACAATAAACCTCCTCCTCCCTCCTTTTTCCTACTAATTTTTTTAAAACAGGGTTTCACACTAGTCAAGTGGTTCTCAACCTGTGGATCATGACCCCTTTGGGGGTCACATATCAAATATTTATATTAAGATTCATAACAGTAGCAAAATTACATTTCTGAAGTAGCAATGAAATAATTTCATGGTTGGGTGACATCACAACATTGGTGATTGAATTAAAGGGTCAAAGCAGTAGAAAGTTGACAACCACTGTTATAGGGACTAGATCAAGCCTAAGCTGAGGTCTGGTATTCACTCTATAGCCTAGCCCGGTCTTGAACTTGAAGCAACTCTCCTGCTTCAGCCTCCCTAGTTCTGAGATGAAGACTGGAGCCATCATATCCTGCTTTATTTTTTTTTTATTTTCTACCTTTATATTACACAAAATGTATTTTGAAACATTAATACAAAATGAGTTAATACAATAACTATTGATCTATTTGACCAATAGATCTCTACAGGGGCCTAGGTGTACACCCACCTCAGCCAAGAGAGCCATGGGGTCAAGAAAACAACTAAGCAGTTGAGGACACACCTTATTTGAGTCAGAAATGGGCAGGTCAGAGATATGAAAGGCTACTTTTGAACTCTTTAAGTTTGCTCCAGACAGGGATACAGAATGGGAAAAATAATAAACTTAAGACTGACTTCTTTACAGGCCTTCCCATTTTATAAACTGTGTTCATGTTGAGATTGCATTTGCTCCCTGCCCGTGAAACCCCCGCCCTGTGCTCACATTTCCCTCCAGGAGCCCCAGGGGATGGATTTTACATCTGGTGTTGTTTCGTTTATTGGTGCCGCTGATGGGAGACACCCTTCAGCTGGAGTCTCCGCAGGCTGTTAAGATGAGTTCGCATGGGAAGCCGCAGGCTACCATCATTTGGGGCAGGCCAGTTTTAAAGCTAGAAGAGCGCGCCTAAATTAGAAGAAACTGGAGTCGTATATAATGGCAGGCTCACGATTATCATAGAGATTTTCAGATTTTAATGAACCTCCAACCTGAGGGTTGCCGGTGTGGCTCAGTTGGTTAGAGTTGCCTAGCATACACCGAGCTCTAATAAAAACTAAGCGAGGTGATGAACCTCACAAATCCAGCATTGAAGAATAGACAAGAGAATCAGGGGTTCAAGGTTATCTTCAGCTAGCCTAAGGTATGATACCCTGTCCAAAGAGAAGAGAGCCTGTTGTTGTAGGTCAAATCTGACACTTGTGACTCTGAGGACCAAAGAAAATCAGAAAGAAACTCCAGGTTGTATCTTTCTGTGTCTGGGTGAGTTTTTTTCTGATGAGAGAACCAATCAGATTTGTCTGCCGCTTCCGACTTCATGGGAGACGACGATAAATGTATCCTATAAGATGAAGTTACTAACCCATCAGGAAGAGTTCCCAGGAAACCCAAATAGACCTTGGATATTTATTGAACACTTCTGGAGATGGTGAGCAGGATATGGCTGCTTCATCCAAAGGCATCTCAGCCCTGGGCACATCTGTCCAGCTGTATTTATGAGAGCCATGCCAAACTCGTGTAGTGCGTGATCTACATTACCCATTGCAGAGAATGTCACAAGTCATCGAGACTGTTCAGGGTACCTCTGCTGTGAGCCTCGTGTGCAGGCAGTGGTTGACATCATGCATTTCCTCTTCAGTGGGGTATGTGTGTTCCTGTAGCCGCCATGACATATTACCAGAAGCTGCATGCTTCAAACAAAAATCATCTGGCTGGCCACAGTGGTGAAGACACACCTTTAAATCTCAGCACTCAGGAGGCAGAGGCAGGTGGAGCTCTGTGAGACCAGGCACTGGGAGGACAGTGATACACCTCCTCCAAAAAAGCCACACCTCCTAGTCCTTCCCAAACAGTTCCACCAACTGAGACAAAGCATTTAAATATATGAGTCCCTGGAGGTCATTCTCATTCAAATCATCACAGCCAAACTGTAGGAATGATTGCTCCAGCCCTTTTCTCACTAGAAACAGAAACTTCCTTCAGCTGGCTCATTATAAGTTCACAGGGCTGCATTCAAAAACTCAGTAGAGTGAGTCACCGTGGGCTGACATAACACGGGTTGTATTTTCGGGAGAGGATTAAAGATGGGAGAGGATTAAAGACCAGCCTAAATGTACCATGAGAGAAGTAGCATTCTATGTGTCCCTTTCTTTAATCTTGTAGCATGCTATCCTTCATCCTGATGCCTTTCTCTCTCCACGTTCCAGTGAGGCATAAAGAGAAGGCAAGTAATGCATTTCTGCCAGCTCAGACCCAGCACCATCAACATTTGGACCACTCCCCATCCCTCCTCTGCAGCAGGGATCTCGATTTTCTCCTTGTTCTTTATTTCTGTTGCTTCGATAAAATGCTCTGACAAAAGAGTAACCTAGAAGGTGTGTTTTGTTTATAATCCCAGTTTATAGTACATTAATTGTGGGGAAACTGAGGCAAGAACTTTAAGCAGCTAGTCACATCCCTTCCAAAGTCAAGAGCAGGGGATTGAACAACCGCATGCAATCTTCCTTGGTTGCTTGTGCTCAGCTTTTCCTACTCTTATGCAGTTCAGGACTCCCACCCCTAGCACCTGCCAACCCCTTGGCCTAGGGAGTGGAGCCACCCACAGTGGGATGGGTCTTCCAACATCAATTACCTTAATTAAGACAATTCCTCAAAGATATGCCCACAGGCCAACTGATGTAGACAATCTCTCATTAAGATTCTCTTCTCAGGTGGTTCTAGGTAGTGTCTGGTTGACAATTAACTTTAACTATGCTGCTGCCCTTGGTTGAATCTGAATGGCCTGCCCAGACAAGTTTTCATTTAGGCCACAAATCTCACACCTGGTTTGCATTTTAGTGATTTGCCCTGGGAGTATTTTCTGCCTAATGAATACGTGCTGGTAAAGAACCCACGACTGTGGGGAACAGATGAAATATTGAGTAGATGTGTGTTGTTGATGTGGGCGTGGCCATGACATGGGCGTGGCCATGACAAGGATGGGAATGGCAGGCCTTCCCCTGTGTGGGGGAAAATAGCTGGTGCAACTTCCTCCTCCAGGATGACTGTAGCTCGAGACTGTCTCCCTGGAGACAGAGACTCCTTACGGAGATTAGCATAAATACGCTGTGTTTCCCCAGGCTTCTGGTGTGCACAACCTGCTCGACGCCAGCGTGTGTATCCCTGTGCCTTTCATTTACTCATTCCCTCATTCCCCATCCCCTGTCATGTCAAATCCAGAGCTGTGCAAGTTGCCGCACAGGACATCCTGAAACACATCGCAACCGACATCACGGTGTAAGCGCATAAGCACACACAAGAGGGGGCTTCTGCAGAAGCAATCAAGGCTTGTAGCGCTTGGCCTACTCAACAAGACTTTCCTCATGGAGGGTTTCTTCACGCCAAGAGCTATGTGCCAAGCATCATGACTGGTCACTGTGGAACATCTGGCTCCTTCACACAGTATCCTGGCAAAGTATTGGTCACTGTGAGTAAAGGCTTTTTTTTTCTTTTTCACATTTTCGACAGAAACAACAAAGAGAACATTTATTTGGGGTCAAGGTTTCCGGTTCACAGTTGGCTCCGTTGCAGAGGCCTGAGCAAAGCAGAGCATTGTGGTGACAACACAAGGTACAGAAGCAAAGTTGCTCCCCTCATGGTGGGAAGAAGAGAGGGTGGCAAGGTCAGATAACACCCTCAAACATCTGCTTCCAGAGGCAAACTTCCTCGAGCTAATTTTGAACAAAATATGAGCAAAGTGAACCCAACAATATGTAAAAAGAATTACATACACCTGTCTTAGTGAGGGTTTCATTGCTGTGAAGAGACACCATGACCATGACAAATCTTTTGTTTGTTTGTTTGTTTGTTTTTGTTTTTCTGAGACAGGGTTTCTGTAGACCAGGCTGGACTCGAACTCAGAAATCTGCCTGCCTCTGCCTCCCAAGTGCTGGGATTAAAGGCGTGCTCCACCACTGCCCGGTGACCATGGCAACTCTTATAATGAAACATATTTAATTGGGGCTGGCTTACAGTTCTGTTTTGATGGGAAGTATAATAGCATGCAGGTAGACATGGTGCTGGAGAGATAGCTGAGAGTTCTACATGTGGATTGGCAGGCAGCAGGAAGAGAGAGTAACACTGGGCCTGGCTTGAGCTTCTGAACCCACAAAGCCCACCCCCAGTGACACCTCCTCCAACAAGGCCACACTTCTTCATCTAGGCCACACCTCCTTCATCAAGGCCACACCTCCTCTATCAGGGCCACGCCTCCTAACAGTGCCACTCTCTCTGACCCCGTGGGGTCATTTTCATTCAAACTACTACAACCCCATAACCATATTATTCCTGCTATACAAATCTAATTCCATATTAGGAAATTTATTCGTTGGAATGTATCGTATCAGCAAACAAAAGGAGCAAAATCAGAAGAAAATTAAAATGGGGTGACAAAATCCAATGTTCATTCACGAGAGGAATTCGGAGCAAGTTAACAGAGCGAAGGAGACAATACAGCTTGCTCGCACACCAAACGAAACTAACAGGATGCCTGCGGTTAACACAGGTTGTGCTGAACACAGCTGGCATGTCTGCCTCGGATTTGATCCCATAGACACACTGTGTTTGCCTATGGAGAGGAGGGAAATGGAGTCACGAGAATCGCTGGGAGTTTGTGAGCCTGAAACAACATCACAGAAACAGAGATGCCCTGAATCAACAAGGTAGATGGAGAGAACTGCCGCTCCATAGTTGTCACGTGACCTCCACACGGACACAGCAGACACAAGAACCCTTGCTCACACAGCGGAGACAAGCATACACAAAAGCAAGCAAACAATAAATAATAAAAGAAAGTGAAGAGTCACACTGTCCTCATGCTTTAGAAGGTTCAACACAATACATGTGTTACTTCTCTCTAAATCAACTTAATGGGTTAATGCAATCTCCATTTAAAAAAAAATCCCGGAAGGCTTTATGTACATAGACAAATTTATTCTTGAGTTTACATGGGTAGCACAAGACCTAAAATAGTTAAAACAATTGAGAAAAGACTGAAGTGTGAGGAGCTGTTTTAGCTGGTACCATGTAACTATAGTAACGGAGATGGTGTGATTTTTGCAGAGAGAAATAGACACGCAGATCAATGAAGCAGAGCAAAGAACCCACAAGAGCATGCACGCGATTGATTTTTTTTTGTTTTTACAAACTTAAATCTAAAACATAAAAGTGAAAAGGGAAGACAGCCTCCTCCTGCCAAGATTTTGCAAGAGCAAAACAACAGCAACAAAAACAAACAAAAAAATCAACATCAACAAGAAAAAACAAAACAAAAAACACATGTCACCAACACAACCTCACACCATGTTCAAAATATGACTCATAAGTGGATCTCAAATTTAAATATAAACATAAATCCTTCAAGCGTTTAGAATATAGGAAGACATGATGGATGAGTTTGTTCGTTTGGGAAGCAGAGTTGTTTCTTTGCTTTGAGACAGTATTTTGCTGTGTAGCCCTGGCTGCCTGGAATTCTTTATATATCCTGGTGAGCCTGGAAATGACAGAGATCTGCCCGCCTCTGCCTCCAAGTGCTGAGATTAGACACACCTGACAGCATGGCCAGTCAGGAAGACACATTAGATAGTCAAGGCTGGGCAGAAAGGAGATAAGGACTGACACCACAGTGTGATAAGAAAAGACCAAACGTGTGACCACACCAAATTTATCAACTTCTGACCTGCAAAGGAATCTACTAAGAGAAGACAAGCTACAGATGGAAAGAAAATAGTTGTGAAATATTTGTAAAACCATGTAGCTGCATGTATATAAACAGCCTTACTTGTGATAGCCTGGAGCGATACACAACCCAGTCACCCTGTGTGTGAAATGGCCAGCCCACCACGGCACCACCACACCACATGGTCCAACTGAGCAAAGAAGGAAGGGCGAGCTAGTCACATTTGGCAGCCTCCGTGAGGTGGCAGGGCGGGTCCTCAAAGTAGACATACAATTATAAAAACAGAGAACAGATTCCCAGTTACCAAGGGTGAAGAGAGAGGGCTGGAGCAAGGCAGCCTACATGATCATTACAGTTCAGGTCAGTATCCTGGCCCAGATATTGTACAATCATCTAGGTTGTTACCACCAAGGAACCTGGGGAAAAGTTATATAGGATCTTGGTATAATTTCTTATAGGTCTTCAAATCTACTTTTTAATTTTTTTTACATTTATTTGCTTATTTATGCATCCGTGTGCACCTTGCCACAGCACACGGATGGAAATCAGAGGACTGGTTCTCTCCCTCCCCTGTATGGATTCTAGAGGCTCACAGATACTGAGCCCATGGATACAGCGCCAGCATCACTGAACCGTTCAGTGTAAAGTGTGAGGTTTGCAGGAGACGGGGAGGCAGGGAATCAACACGGAGAGCGAATACACAGAGAAAGACATTCTGCAGGCACAGGATTGACCATTAGGACTTGGGGCATACTAGGTGCATGCCTGGAATTCAAGCCCTTGGGAGGGTGAGGCAGGAGCATCAAGAATTCAAAGCCAGATTGTGTGTTACATAGCGAAGCGCTATTTCAGAAAGACAGAGAGAGAGAGAGAGAGAGAGAGAGAGAGAGAGAGAGAGAGAGA